TCTCTCTCTCTCTCTCTCTCTCTCTATGTGGTTTTCTTCCTTCTTGTATAGGCAAGAGAGCTTGGGAAGTAAGGATCTGCTTAATTTCGACCCTTACGGGGGTTGAAGGCGGAAGGGAGACAAACGGCAACCTTCCTATTTTGGAAAGGACAGGAGCTGAGATCTCTATCTAGAAGTGGGTAGGGACGAGATTAGTGGGTGGTGGAAAGAGTAGTAGCGCCTCCGAAGTTTTTTGAAGGGGGAGGTGGACGCCTCCCCCCTTTTCTGTCATCTTTTTCCAAAGCTTCAGGGATTTGGACGGACGGGAAGGTGGAATATAATTGCAGAAAACGAGGCTGGGATGAGTAGAGATCATGAAACGGTGGACTCCGAGATACTTAGAGCAATTAACTGTCTGATTTTCCTTCTGGAAAATTCGGCAACAGAATCTTTTATATCCGGTGGGATGGGAGGTAGTGAGAGATTAAAGGGGTTACTGCCACGTGGCAACAGAATCTTTTAAGGTAGTCTACTTGGGGCGCGGCTGAATGGTACATTCCCAAGCTCAAGGGGGTCACTACGAAGGGAAGGGACAGCAGGCAAGAGCTGACGTGGGACCATTTCCAACGGGCCCGTGTCCTACCTCCCACCGGCCGGTAGTGGCAGGGGATCTGCTTTTGGTTCACGGGCCTCCCTACATGGAAAGGCAAGAGCTTGGGGAAGGAAGGATCTGCTTTTGGGAAGTAAGGATCTGCTTTGGGTTCACGGGCTGATCCCGGAATACAGGGCCAGATAACGAGCCTGGTAGATAACGAGCCTAGGCTATCAGAAGCGGTGGCTGAAAGAAAGAACGTCAGAGTCAGCGGCAGTGGTCAGGATCAGGGGATCAGGAACGATTCTTCGGAAAAGTCGAAGGAAGGAGCTCTCGCAGATTAGGATAGTTTGAAGGGAAATAAAAAAAGAAGAAAAAAAGGAGACGTTGAAGAAATTGAAGCGGGGGATTCCGATGGAGATGAAGTGTGGGTGTGAAAGAAGATGGGTGGGTGTGATAGGGCAGTGACATCGGGCTCAAAAAGGTGATGATGGGGTGCATTCAGTTCAGAGCGAATGATGCCGATCTGAGGATTATAGATGGGATGATATTCACAGCTCAGGGGGTGATAATGACAATAAAGATAATGACAATAAACATGATGATGATGATGATGATGACGACGACAAGAATGGTGATATGAATCGTTGGAATAAGGAGACTGGGGATGGCGATAATGATGATGGTAATGAATCGTTGGAATCGTTGGAATCACCTCATAATGCCGCTGTCTATAATGATGATGATGAGGAGGAGGATGAGGAGGATGAGGAGGAGGAGGAGGAGGAGGAGGAGGAGGAGGAGGAGGATAATGATGATAGCAATGGCGATATGAATTACTGGAATCAGAAGACTGGGAATGAAGAAAGGGAAGATGATAACCTATTGGGGTCTGGACGGTACAGTCTATTGGGGTAAGACAACGAACAGGAGAGTAGATTTTAAAGATTCCAATGACATGCAAGACAGTGAGCAGGAGGGCGAAGTCACGGGATTGGAGAATTCCTTGGTGTGGAGAGAGAACGCTGTGAATGTGTGTGTGTGTGTGTGTGTGTGTGTGTGTGTGTGAGAGAGAGAGAGAGAGAGAGAGAGAGATCATTGCATCATAATTGAACACAGAGAGAGAGAGAGAGAGAG